CCTTAACCCGACCTTTTTTCTGGAAATATCTATGAATCGAAAGAGCTCAACAGCATAGCTAAGGTCAACTAACACGTTCCAGCTTCTCTTCCCCCACCCCTCCCCCGCAAAACAATAATCCACAGTAATCCCAAGATTCTCTGCAGTCGCAGTCAATCCTCATTTCCGAGTCCGCGATATATTTCCCAGCGGCGAAATTTCTTTGGTTACTGCGGACGCCATCTTCATTGTTGTTGTATCTGCAGCTCCTCTGTCACTCATGGCGACGTTTTCGAGGTCCAAAGGAACTAGATCTGGTAAGTTCTTCTAAACATCTTCCGATCCAGTAAAAATGTCATTATTTTGCAGTCAAATTGATGTCATATTTTTGGTCCTGCTTAGCTTCCCCGCTTAGAAGCAGTGCCCCAGACAATTTGCGTCGTTCTGGAAGCTTTGGAAAATCGGGAAGAAATTTAGCGGCTTCGTTCGAATCCAAATCTGGGTATGTACGTGAAATACTTACACTTCTATTATTTCGAGATATAACTGCGGTTTTACCAACCCTCGATTCACTTAATCGGATCACCATTATGTGGGAAAGTGAAATACAAATGAAATTCCTTCGCCAATGAAATTTTTTCGCATTCCCCAGTTGCCACAACTAAGTTTAAATTCAGCTTTTCACTTAGCTGACACTCTTCTTTTATGTTGAATGAAGTTATTTGCTGACCGTGTGTTCCGAAGATCCGACCCAAAGTAATACTCTATTGTTAATAATGGTGTTACAATTTTGGCTTCGCATGCAATACTCTCTCCCTCGGTGAAGAACTATTTCTTTATCTATACCGGCCCAATTAGGAGGTTATTGTTAATAAAACTCAATCCAGCTGATCAATCAAGACAAGTGTACTTCAGCTACCCTGTTCGATTCGTGAAGTACCATCAAGAACGTTGTAAAATAACCCAGTCACTTTTTGTGGTTAAATTAAAAGTCCAAGCTCACCAAAGCTCTTCATTACAAATTAGAACTTTGGTGTTACATGTACGTTCTTGTGCATTAATTTAGACAATGTATGAATTCTAATTATCACCTTTAAAGGAGTTACACAACATTTAAAATATCTTCTTTACCATTCACCTAAATATTACTTGCACTTGCAGATCAAGAAAGTAAACAAGTTTATATGTCTAGACAAAGTTCCCAAAGATAAGTCAAAGCTAGAAACCATGCAGTTATATATTGAACAAATAGATTCCATGTTGTCATAGGTCTGTTCATTAATTATTCTAGATCACAGATGACATCAAAATTTGTTAAGAACAAAAAAGTGGCACATGAACCACTAGGCAAGTGTCTTACCACATTTTGATGTCCTCTGTGATCTTTTACTGATCAGGCGAATGGCAACATGGAATCTATCTGTTTTATATAAACATTTATGAAGAAACCAAAAAAATGTTATGACGTCCTCTGTATGTCTGTCCTCCAGCAGATCGTTAGTAAGAAGGAATCGAAATGTGAAAATAATTTGACTTATTATAGCAATGGTAGTTTGTCTGTACAAGTGTGTGCAGTTTTCAGCCCTAACTGCTTGGGTGCTCTCTTTTGTCAGGTGAAAGTAAGGATAGATCCTAATCTCTTGCTAGTCCACTTCTAGAGGTGGAAATCTAGAAGTGCTGCAAGGGTGTGTGAACTTGCTTTTGTCGTTGTTTTTACATATAGGAAGCATACAAGATCTTCTTCTTCCAATGCTACAGTTGGGAACATTGAAAATGAGTACATCAGAAATCTTCAGCAACAGATTTATTTCCTTGAATTGGAAGCTAACTATCTGTATCCTTTCATTGATCAACGTTTTTTCTGACCTGGCCGGCATATGCATGTGTAGGAATGTTCACCCAAGGGTACTCCCATATGAAAAGGGTTCCACAGGGATGCTTGTTAATTATCTTGCTTAGAGGTTTTAAAATCAAGGATTCTGGTCTTAAGGTGTTCATGATAAAATGCCACTATTTTTAGCTATCAAAGTATTCTTTTAGGGTGCCCTCAAAGAAATGATGATCAAAAACGCTCTAACTTATTTCTGTTTTTAGGCTCGATTCTGCCAGTCCCTACAGTTTGGTCTCTTAGCACAGGCTCCTGCCCTGAACAGCAGCTTGTAATTGGGCCTATTCCATTTTAAGTGGTATCTTTTAGGGGTCAAATATGGCTTTAGCCATGCCCAGAGTGGCCTCTGTCATATCAGTGTATGAAACATCAAAGAAACCAGATTATTACAATATACACTCTATACATTTGTGTACCATCACCACAAACTGTTTTTGTCTTTTTTCAACAAGTCCATGAAATTCTTTCCCTTAACTTGTAAATTATCATCAGACGTGAGCAGGCACGAAAAGCTTCAGGTGAGAGGATTAAAATAAATATAAAATTTTTCCTATTTTTTAAAGGGATGAACTTTAAATTTCTCCATATACTATCACTACTTGATTAAGCAGCCATGTTGTGAGAATATAGCAAATCAACAATTTCTTGATAATGCCTTCACATAGTATCAAGTTCTTTGAACTAACATTAAAAGAAAATTCAAATAAATTAACTGGCAAACCTTTCTACAAAATCATTTTCCCAAGGAGTTGAACATTTGCTGTTAAACTTTAATTTTTTGGCATTAATCTTCAAGCAGCAATCCCTCCTCGAGTCACTGAGGAAGCAGACCGTATGATGCGGAAGCTGAGGGATCTTCAGGCTCAGGTGGATGAACGATCTTCTGATGTCGTCAGGAAAGAGTCGCAAATGAACATGTTGGAAGCTGAGAAAGATGCCGCAGTCAAAAGGCTTAGAGATGCTGAAGGTACATTTCTTAGCTAAGTTGAAGGCATAGCTTGATTTAACTAAAACTTTTGAACCTGAAGTAGTAAGACACTTCCCTATCGCCTCATTTGCCACTGTTTTGTTCTTACCTCATTTTGACGTCATCTGTGATCTATTACTGAACAGATGCATAGCAACCAGGAATCTATTTGTTAAGCTGACAATGCATATATTTTATTATCCTAGAGTCACATGCAGCCGAAAAGCGACAGTTGGTAAATGAGGTAGTGTCACTGAAAAAGATGTCTGACCTTCATGAGCGTGATTGTGCCAGACGAGACCTACAGGTTCATCAATACAAGAATGAAGCTGATAAAGGACTCACTGCTTTACAAGAAGCAGAGAGAAAAGTACAGAACTATAGAATAGAGGTGTGTTAGAAATCAGGTTAATTATCTATCACTTTTTTTAAGTTTTTACTTCATGCACATTAAATGAAACCCTAAAATTAATTCAGGCATTCATTCAGTTGGACTTTTTATTTTACACTGCCAATTTTGGACTAGTTTTATTGTGAATTGGGACAAATTCCATCAAAA